ATTTTCTCTCGTGTGATATAGCCATTAGCTTCTACGAGCTCACAGAGCAAAATGACATCAAATTTTACATTTGACATGATCAAATAAATGACTAAATTAATTAAAACGATATCAAAAGAGGAGATAGAACTGGAAAGATACACAAAATCAACCCAATTTGAGGAGAAACGTGATTACTTAACCGATATTTGATTCCGACAAACGATATCACCTTGTCGGATACGACATAATCGTTATCGTATCGGTGAGTGAAAAAGCACTCCGGTGCTGACCATGCATTTTACTTGACTCCATGTCGTTCGCCGACAATCGGATCCGTTTTGTTGGTATCGTGTCGTGTAATGAAAAAGCGCCCTATAAGCAATGATATTTATACATGCCTTAACTCCATTTATAAATTTGATCACATTTAATAAAAATATGTATTAAGGAATATGTATTAAAAAAGTTTTTGTCAGTTAAAAATATTCAGCCAGTGGAAATATGAATTTGCATTTTTCAGCTATAACTTACCTGATGTTCAGTTTTAAGCTGAAGATTGGCTTAGCGTTAATCTTGTGAAAATGGCAGTCGCCGATTCCATATTGTTTTTCATCCATGGTATTCATTGTGGAGAAGATAAAACTGTTGTTAATCTTGCAATTATATATTCAATGGAAATTGATTTTAAAAATTCATGATTTACTGCATCTGCCAGTGACAATATTTCACATACGTTCTCCTCTGACGTTTCCTTTGTCAAGAGCATGGCACATTTCTCTTTCTAGGGCAATACTTGATATTTTTCCACAGTCCTCAGCAGTTTTGCTGCGATTTCATAATCCATTTCATCTACACTATCGGTGTATAAGAATTTCAAAAATGATTTCATGACGTAGGCATCAATATCAACGATGTCGACAATGCCACTGCGAGTTTCTTCCATCTCTTGGTGATCAAACATAACAGCAAATACCGGGGATCGAGCCACTAGAACAGTTTTATATGCTTCAATAATTTCACCATCCACTCGCAATTTCACATCACTGAGATGTTTGTTATGGAATAAATTTCGAAAGTCTTCCTGCAGTGAAGAATAAGCACTTGTCGTAGATGATGAGTCAGATTTAGGCATATAAATTTGAAAATATGTTCCATTCGAAACGGAAAATTCACAGTAAATATATATTCGATGGGAGGGATCACGTTTGAAATCCTTTAGATAACTTTTCCATTCTTTAGAAAGGGAGTCTGAAGGAAATTCCCAATGTGTGCAGTTTGCTGGGGGAAAAAAATGCTTTGCTCTTTCAGAATATATTTTTGAATTGAATTTATCAGTGCAGTGCACAATGCATGGTTCGTTATTAGTGCTTTCGGTAACCACCCTTGTAAATGTGATTTCAAGATTATCGCTTCTGTCAAAAACGGAAAACTCGAATTTATTATTCGATCCAAAAGTTATTAAACGTTTCTTTGTTACCGTTCTAAGTACTTGAATTTCAAAAATGTTTCGATCGACGCCAATCTTTGTGCATGAAAAATCTTCAATTTTCATAATACGAGTAGAATTTTATCCAAGAATTTTGTCCAAGTATTTTGTTTGTTACAACGAATGGTAAAAGTATCTTCTTCACAATCCTCTGCATCTTGGAGAATATCTTTGATAGCAAGGAAATCAGGACAATTTAACTCCGCATCCTCTGGAGTTAAAAAATTTTACCACTTATGATTTTTCAATATCTTTCCACTGGCTCCAATTGCTTCGTTTTCAGATTGAAGAAAATCAATTTTTTCGAATGCATGAAATAAATTCAGAATATTCTTTACTTTCTTCGCTTGGATAAGAAACTATTATACATAATATATAAGCATAAAAATATTTCCAAATTTTTTGGAACCAATAGTGGGACTCAATAATTTTAAGTCGTTATTGTGGTTGCAAAAAGAAAAATTTTTGATTTTCCACGTAAAAGTATATTTACTTTCGTACATGATTTTTTGTGAAACAAATTAAGTTTAACGCAATGCCTCAAGTATACATTTAGTGAATAAATTTGATATTAGATCTATACCTTTATCAACATTTATCTACAGAACAGCAAGCGATTTCTTATCTTTATTCAATTCATAGCTACGTGATAGCTGAATGCGTCATTATTGTTTACCTCGAATTAATTTTAAACAAAAAATAGTCATTACCTGTTACGAGAATAAAAATGCATAAGAATGTTAAAGGACACCATTTTAAACTGCGATCTACGTTTCTACAAAGGTACTCTTAAATCGTTTGATTAATTTCTGCTTTAATTTAATTTTTTTAAAAATCCTATCAATCAAACTTAGAACACTGAAACAAACACTAAATTCCACTTTTCAATTTGTCTTTAAC